CTTCCCCCTCGGACGGCTGCGAACTCTGGGTCCCCGCGGCCGTCGTGATGACTGTAGTACGGGGCACGACCTCCCTCACTGCAAAATACTTACCGTACGGTATAGGAGGAGGGTCAACCTCCTCCGATACGGGGCCAGCCTAAGGTTATCGCAACTGGTCGGCCTTGAGGGAGTCGCGTTTGTGTTCTCTGAGACATTCCGTGGCTCCCCCTCCTGGCCCAGGAGAAGTCTCGTGGAGGTTTTAGTGGGTAAGAGCCCCACAGTACCACCGGCCGCTCCTCCGGGCGGTCGGTGGTCTCTGAATGCAGATTTCCTTCACGTTAAACAAAAGAAAAAAGATTTGGATATACAGCTGTTCGCTACTATTCCCTGTAGTGATGCCGTAGGTCCAAATAAGTTTTATAATGATGTTGTAGATAATATCTGTTACGTTTTCTTTTTTATATGATGTATCCATGTTAACTTGGAGTCGAGGCGTAGGTGGTTGATCCATGCCAGTACTATATGCAGTAATACTATAATTGTTTTATTTGGTTGAAATATTCCTTGGAGATATTCTGCAAATGCTGTAGTTTTCTCATAGCGACTCTTAGCTCACGCACGGTCTACTTTCCTTATAGGTGGAAGAGAAATCACTGGTTTCTTAAATCTTTTAGTGGCTTTGCAGAGTGAGTAGTTGATGTCTTCATTAGGCGATAGGGTTGAGATGTACGAGTAAAACTCGTCGTTACAGAAGTTTTGTATGGGTTGTTAGACTTCCATGTTAATTGCGTTAAGTCGTCTTTTATTGGTGGTGGTTTTATATTTTTGTTAGGTTTGTTTTAATTTATGTTTGAATTTGATTGTTTTTAGTACATGTTTAGGATAAGAATTTACCTGTTTGTTCTTGTAATATTGGTTAGTAGCAATCCACCCAGCTTCTTGGATTAGGCTAGTCAATTTGATTACTGCTTGTTCAATATGGTCAGGATTTTTTAATGGTATATTAAAGCTAATGTTTTGCTGAAGAAACTCCTTAAAGAGTAGCCAGTCTGTAGTGTTGTTGTAGAGAGGCAGTGTTTTGTAACATGAGTAGGTTTGTGTAAGTAAAGAGTCAGAATTCGAGAATGATCGGAACTGAGATCTATGTAGACTAATTTTGACTTAGTAGTGGGATTTAAAAAAATCAGAATATTGTTTTTCAGTTATTTTGTAATTAGGGGGGAAGTATACTGCAAATAGGTTGATCTGACTTTGTGAAGTTACAATAGTTACTGTGGTATATTGAAGATATTCATAGTTAATGCAGTTTAAAAGATGATGTTCGATGTTTGATTTGAAACTTACTCAAGAGCCACCATGGCCTGTTCCTAATAAATGTAGTATAGCGCGGAACTTTAAAGTAGCTTTGATCTGTGAGGTGAGTTTCAGATATGAGCATAAGATCGATGTTATTGATTTGAAGAAAGACCCTTAGTTCCTGGCGTCTTAGTAGTCTATTGGCATTCAAGATTGCTACTTTTAAGGTAGTGGCCATTATTTGATTTTAGTATTACGTTGGAGGGCAGTTGTATCATTGTAGCGATTTGTTGTACTTGTTGTTGTAACAGCTTTGTCTGTTCAAGAAGCATATTAGTTACGAGTTCAGTATTTTTGGCTAATTGTTGTAGTAGATTCTTAATTTTTATCGTGTAGTTGGGAGAGTCTGTATTTAGCGTGTTACAAAATGTTTTAGACTGGTGTACTTGTGTTGAAGTTGCCTGTGCATAACTTTTAGCGATGTTAGTTGGGTGCGGATTTGCAATATTGTCATATTCTGTTGTGCGATTATGTGTTTGAATGTTACGGCCATTGCTAAATGTTTTTCGGCTAAGTGTAGGATAAAGTTTTTGCTATAGTTGTTTCCGAACTATGCACGCTTTGTAATTAGCAGGATGATTGCCCTGGTAATTGAAACATTTTACATTTTCTATTTTACCTTGAAGAGGGCATATTGAAGTAAAATGCTTTCTGGAATATTTGACGAATGCTGGTGTTCGGAAACAATAATTTTTAGTATAGTCAGAATTTTGACAGCGTATACATTGTGGTATTTCCCTTTTGGCTTTAGGGGGTTTGAAAGTGTCTATAGTGTTTAGGAGTATATTTATCTTAAAGATTTGTTTGTTGTTATTATTGAGTTCCAGTTCTATGAAGAACAACGGTAGTGGCTCTTTGGTATTATGTTTTACTATATTGTTTACTTATCTTACTTGATGGTTTGATTGTTTTAATTCGTCGATAATGTTTTGAAGATTTATTTTGGGGTGCATCCCCCTGAGCTGTACCTTGTAGCTTCTGTATTTTTTCAGTTGATATGTATAGAAGTTAGCATTTTTGTTTCTTGAGTCAAGAAGTAGTTTTGTGGCAGCTGAAAAGCTGCCTTACGCCACTGGATTTTCCTGGCTATTTTTTACCGTTAGCACTGTTCTTCCGCGCGAGTCTGTTTCATGTCATCGCACATTTGGCGACCAGACCCGTGCGGGCCTACGGGATTTTCCGAAGGTTTCCCAGGCCTCTCTCGGAACTGCCCAGTTCGACGAGCAGGCCCTTTCAGACCTGGAAACTTTCACCTTTTTTACAACACTCTTGTTTACTTGTCTTTTCGCCATTATCCTTCTTTTTCTCTGTCTTTTAGATCTTTTCTCTCTTTCTCGATTTTCTTCTCTGCCTGTTGGATCTTTTCTCTCTTTCTCGATCTTATCCTACTTTCCCATCTTTTTGTCTTTCTTCAGACGGGTATATATTTTCCGAGGAGAGTTTAGGAGCTCTCATTCTTCTACACACGCGACCGACGTCATCACGAACCTCCGCGACACCGACCTTTGGTAAACTGTGTTGAGGGCCGTATTCTCACCAGTCATTTCGGTTTAACTTCACCGGCTCCTCCACAGTTTAATATAGGTTTCAGTAGTGTTCGTTTGAATTTTGACATGGTTGGTTTTTATTTGTTTTAAAGTATAATTATTACCTGCTGTTTCTGTTAGTAGTGTTATTAGTGGCTCAATAATTTGGGCTTCGATGTGGATTAGTGAAGGCTTTGCTTCAGTCGTCTTTTTTGCAGCGGTATTCGTAGATTCATCAATAACTTCATTCAAAATATCAAAATGGTTGTTTACAGGAACATTTGTTAGCCATTAAGACTGATCCATGCTCTCGTCTTGAGTAAGAAAATCAGGTGGAGAATGAACTTTGCGCTTCTTGTTAGTAGTAAATTGACGGTTGTTCAGTTTCCATTGAGTCTTTGTCAATTAAAATGTTATTAGTATTAAAAGAGCTCTTTGTTGTGAATTTATTACCACATTTGATTATTTTGACCATTAAAGACTCATTCTGTTTATCCATTTATGGAATTTGTGTACACCTTGCCAAATGGCAAGTGTGCACAGGTACAATCGCGAGTTGAGAACTTTGGTACAGACTTGACTCACTGTCAGTCGTAAACACAGATACGTAAATACTTCCTATTGGCTCGGTGGTTCGAAAAGAACTCAAAGTTGACAATTAGAATACATATTTTCGTAAGTAACTGCATCAATCAAAATCGACCAAAACATTTACCAAATAATGTTTATAAAATTCAGTATGAGTCAAATTGACTAGTTTCGCAAATCTAATGTTGATAAACCTGTTTTTCATTATTTGTTTCATAAAATATGGTATATTGATATCGTTTCAACGTCCAGACCTATGTCCCGGTTAAGGCGTTGCTCTCCTTTTGCCGTCATAGAAATGGCGGATGTAGAAACCGCAGAAATCCTACATGCATCTTAAAGAAATCAACCAGACCGTTTCTGCGTTTGTCGAATACTACCGACTAGAGAAATCCTCATCATAATTGTAACCCCCTAACGGGGGGACGTTTTCCGAGTTGGAAAATATCGCCATTTCGTCTTCAACTGTCGAAACAGTCAATCCTGGTTCGACAGTCAACCGGCAATAAATTCAGTCATATTACCACCAAGTGTGTTGTCCTTCACTTTTAATTTTAACCCTTTTTGAACGCGCTCCGCAGAGAATAATTTGTCCGAACAAGCATCGGACTTCACAATTTATTTTAAGGCATTTAAAAGTACTTCGCGAGAGAGTCCGAAACGGATATTGCTACATATGTTGGGTGCTAATTTAGTAGTCAACGTGGTAGGTTAGGTCAAATATTTTAAGAACTCGTATTTAGATGTAAAGCGTGTGTCAAACAAATGCAAATATTTTATAAATATATAACTCCTATGTTTTTATTAATTGTACACGTAAAATATTTTTTTATTTTATGTTGTTCGCATATGTATCTTATTGTTAAATATTTTAATCATTTTTTATATGCAAAATTAATTAAGTTAATTAATTTAACACTTTGTGTATAGAACACTTTACACAATTGTGAATTTTGGTGAAAATACTTCAATTTATTGGCATTCATTACAACTATGTAAACTCAATTTTTTTGATTATCAACAATATCAAATGCTATCATGTTATCTTGTTGTAATCAATAATCTCTTCTGTGTTTTTGATTGCATAACGCCGTCTGATGAATGTTTACGTAAAATTCAATAATTTTTGTGTAATACCTCGTACTTCGTATATATTTACTTTCTATATTAAACACTTCTTCTACGATATTTCTTCGAAGAACAAGACTTTTAGAGATATGTTATCTTATGGATCAACCGAGGTATAAAAATTTCCAATAAATATGGATGAAAATCATGATATTCAGATAAATAGAAATATAAATACTTTTATATTGGATTGGTGTGTACAGTGAATATATTTACAGAATTTTAAATCGATGTGTTTATAAAACTATACATTACCTTACTTTACAATGCAAAAATACTGTAATTTTCTACATTACACAATATTAAAATTCTATAAAAAATATATGTGTATTTATGTTGACATCTTTCCAGTATCTCCATGTTATTTAACCGTTTGTGCAATACTTATCAACTTAACATGTACGCGAATATTGTAAATATTGTTACCGATACTACACTGAAGGTACTCGGAATAGTTCCACTGTTTTTCTCTTCGTTCCACTGTCTTCTGGTTAAGTAAGAAGTAATAGTGCGTTCGTTCTTCGTGTACCAAACGTATTTCTTTTCCGCGGATACAAGAGCTTTGTTAAGTTCTGATGAAATGTTCTTCAGGCTTTCCTGCCTAGATTGTATGAATTTTCTGATCTGTAAACGAAATAAAATTGTTCATGTTAATATGTATAAAATACATCGATGAACAGAGATATGCATTCGATCCATATTTAAAATGAAACGTCATTAATACTAATTGATCCTATCGCAAAATAAATAAATTTGGATCTAAAGAACGAATTTTCAATAATAATTATTAAGAATATTCTTCTTGTATACATTTGTCATAAAAATTACACCTAACAAATGCAGTTAATGAGAATTTAATAATTAATAATCTGTTACATAATCTGCGTATAAAAATTAATATTACGATATTAGGATAATGACGTTTGTATAATGAGATATCGGCTGAAGTACCTTATTCAACTGTTCTACAGTGGAAATACGGGACACTACTTTAGAGAATAAAGTTCCAACACTGTCCCATTCGCCATAACTGAAAAAGTTAAGGATAAATATGTATAGTGTACAGTTCTAATTACTGCGAATGAAAAAATTAATGGTAATAACCCTTTTCAATTTAATTTCTTTAATATTCTAATATTCTATAAATTATAAATGTTCAAATACTTACTATTTATAAACTTTTTCGAAATTATCTATCAAGAAGTCTAACATTACGTCCAATCCTATACGACTAGACTTGTAAATAGACGCCAAAGCTGCGTCGACATCCTGCTTTCGAATATCGGGAGTGAGGGATATATTCAGCGCACGCATGATGTATCTAAAGATA